ACAAGAAAACAACGTAAAGTTGAATCGATCAAAGATGAACCTCTGTCAAACTTACGTAAAATTTTATGGTCATATGCTGATAGATCACGGTTTGCGACCCGATGATGCGAAGATATCGTATATCAAGAACTTTGCGAAGCCATGCAACAGAAAGGAGGTCCATCGTTTTGTTGGGATGGTCAACTACCTGAGCCGTTACATTCCGAACCTCAGTGTTAACTTGACGAATCTGCGCAAACTAATCTCCGAGTCAGCTATGTGGCAGTGGACAGCAACCGAAGAAAATGAGTTTAAAGTAGTGAAATCCTTGGTATCGGACATCAAGACGCTGAAGTACACTGGAGTCGCTTTTTACGCGGTTTTTTTTACACGGTTTTTTTACGCGGATTTCGGAATTTACGCGGTTTTTTTACGCGGATTCCGGAATTAACGCGGTTTTTTTTTACGCGGATTTTGGTTTTTTTACGCGGATTTCAGAATTTACGCGGTATATCGCTTTTTACGCGGTTTTTTCTTACACGGTCTTTTTTTACTCGGTTTTTTTTACGCGGATTTCGGAATTTACGGGGTTTTTTTTGTACGCGGATTCCGGAATTTACGCGGTTTTTTTTTACGCGGGACGTATCACCCGCGTAAAAAGCGACTCCAGTGTACTATGACGTGACCCAACCGTTAGTGATAGAGTGCGATGCTAGTTGCTATGGTTTGGGTGTTGCAGTTTTCCAGCACAACGGAGTGATTGGATATGCGTCACGAACGTTGACGAACACTGAGAAGAACTACGCTCAAATTGAGAAGGAGCTACTCGCTATTGTATTTGCTTGTGTTCGTTTTGATCAGTTGGTTGTTGGTAATCCGAAGGTTACAGTGAAAACGGACCACAAACCGTTAATCAGTATATTAAAAAAATCACTCTTATCACCGCCACGACGTCTTCAACATATATTGCTGAATCTTCAACGTTACAACTTGACAATCGAGCTTGTTACGGGTAAGGAAAACGTTGTGGCAGATGCTTTGTCTCGATCTCCATTGGTAAACGAAAATGCTGTGGAAAAATTTGAAAAACTTAATATATTCAGCGTGTTTGATGAAATATCAGAGGTGAAACTTAGTAACTTTCTCAGCATTTCGGACACAAGGCTCACTGAGATAATGGAAGAAAGTGGAAAGGATCATTCAATGCAGATCATCGTCAAGTACATTCACCAGGGTTGGCCTAGTTCGGTTGATCGTGTGCCAAATAACGTCAAGATTTACTACAATTGCCGCAACGAACTGTCTACCCAGGACGGTTTGATCTTTAGGAACGACCGCCTACTAATACCGTATGTTCTCCGGAGAAAGCTTGTGGATTGCTGTCATATCAGTCACAATGGTGTGGAGGCTACACTGAAGTTAGCAAGAGCGAATTTGTTCTGGCCAGGAATGAGTTCGCAGATCAAGGATGTCGTCAAGGAATGTGCAATTTGTGCTAAATTTGCTGCATCTCAACCGAATCCACCAATGCAAAGCCATAAGATTCCAGTGTACCCTTTCCAGATGGTTTCGATGGATGTGTTTTTTGCTGATTACCATAGTCTAAAACGGAAATTTTTAGTTACAGTGGACCATTACTCGGATTTTTACGAGATCAACTTGTTAAAGGATCTGACGCCAGAATCTGTGGTAGCTGCATGTAAGGAAAACTTCGCGCGTCACGGAATTCCACAACTAGTAGTGACGGACAATGGTAAAAACTTCGTGAATCAAAAGATTGTGAAGTTTGCCGGCGAATGGAGTTTTGATCACGTCACGTCTGCACCTCATCATCAGCAAGCCAATGGGAAGTCGGAGGCTGCCGTGAAGATAGCTAAAAGGTTGATGAAGAAGGCTGAACAAAGCGGATCAGATTTTTGGTACGCTCTGTTGCATTGGCGCAATATTCCCAACAAGATTGGATCCAGTCCAGCAGCTCGTTTGTTTTCCTGTTCAACACGATGTGGTGTACCGACAACTGCAACAAACTTGCAACCAAAGGTAGTGGAGAATGTCCCATCTGCAATCGAAGAAAATCGTAAGCGAAATAAGGTATCACTATGACAAAAAAAATCAAGATCGTTACTTGAACTACAAACTGGATCACCGGTTTACGTTCAGCTCCATCCAGAGACTTCGAAGCTTCGGACTCCTGAAACTGTTTCTGATCGATTGAACGAAAGATCCTACATGGTCAACGTGGACGGAGCCGAGTATCGTAGAAGTCTTGTCCATTTGAAGCCGCGTAAGGAACCCGCTACGTAGCACGACCGTTTATCGCCATCCAATATTTCGAGTCAACCGACAGAATTTTCAACTTCAACCAGTGGAACCGAAAAGAAAGCACAGACTTGTCAAACGATGCCACAGACCCCATGTTGCAACAGCATAGGGCTCGGCAAAGTGCGTCAACATCAATGACTGATGGAAACACGGACGTCTCAACTGAGAAATGTACAACAAGAATGAATCGTCCACAACGTGAGAAACGAATACCGGAGAAATTTAAAGATTTTTGCCTTAAGTAAATATAAACATCTTTTCTCAGAGTAGGGAGGATGTTGTAGTATTTGTTATCCCCCTCTTTCGGTACACAAATATCTACCTACACACCTCTTGGTGCACTCTCTTTGTCATTGTTTCATTTGCCATTCATTCACGAGTGCGCAGTCAACGCGGTAGTTTATAATGTGAATATTATGGTTGTTAATAAAGATAAGTAAAAAGTTAGTTACGCGTTTTATTAACACCAAAACAGTGTGAGAGTTAAACGTTGCGATCTAAGAGCGAAATAAAGGCAAATAAATAGGGAACACAACACCATGACCCAAATAAGTAACCAATGCATGCGGCTCACACTTAACTTGTTCTATTTCTTTCTTCCTATCATGTACTAATATTAACTGCCTGAGAACAAATGGGAACACGACCAGAAGTTCAGAGGAAAGTAGCGAGAAAGTTTGAACAAGAAAAGAAGAATTAAACTTGCACCGGCAAGAGGAAGCAGACAGAAAGGATCATGCCGGTTGGACTGGACGAAGCTTGTATCTAGAAAAAAGTCGTATGTGCAGGAAACCCAAATGTATCAAATGATCCCCAATGGAAATTGTTGCTGGCAGCGTACTGGCAGCCGAAAAACAATAGGTCGTATGAATAAAAGCGTTTACTTTACTTTTCCCGTAAGAAAAGCACGGGAAAGTAAACTCTTTTTATTCATACGGCTCATTATAAAAATAAAAATAATATACAACCGACAATATCACTGCAGACAAGCGTGTGAAGCATGTGAATCAAATTCATCAGTGCGTCACAGCAAAGGCACAGGGGTTTATGGCAGCAAAACCCCAACAAGGTAATCAAGCAAACCAATAGGAATTTGACCTGGGCCCAGGTCAAGCAACCGCTCAGTATGGAGGTTTCTCATGTTGGCCCTCTACACCTCTGGAGGTTCCCAGGATACTTGAGTGAGTGAGCACGTGAAGAGGGACGTAACCCGCAGGAGCGGGATTGAAAGCGGACATAGCTCATGCAGCACAACAAGTCGGCGTTCTGTTTTTGTTCTTCTCTTTTCAGAAAAACAACAAATACTCTATCGCTCTTCTCTATTCTTTTATTCTCTTACTATCCCCTACAAATCTGAAGCAAGTGGGACTGCCTACGGGAGCAACAGGCCTGCTGGTGCAAGAAAGTCGTTATGCTGTACGGTCTAGCATAGGCCACGATCAAAATTTCCGTAGGTTCACACCTAGTTTAAGTGCAGATGGGCGGGCGATAGTTGGCCAGGGTGTGAGCTGAGCAATAACAATAACAATAACTTTTTGGAGATCTCTGATAACCTGGAGGACTTTTGATTAATTTCTGTGCATCCTGGTATGTTGAAAGACTATCTGAGATGTGATTTGAATTGTTGGGCAGTTGACAATCTTAAGAATGATACCGGGTCAAGCTGAAGTTTTGAACAAATATCCCGACGAGTTTTTGGAGATGTATGATCACTTGGCTTTGGAATAATTTCTGAACAACCTGGTGTTTGAAAGAATAATTAGGAAATGTGATTTGAGATGTTGGGCAGTTGAAGATCTTCAGAATAGCTGTGGACATCAGGAGGTTGACCAACCCTAGTGTGCATGGATACACTCAAAATTGTGGGTGGCTTCAGCCATTGTTGAAGAAAGATCGAAAGTTGTTCCCTAGTTATTGCTAAATGTGACCATCATCAGGAAAACAAAATAAAATAATTTCAAAACGTGCAATTAATTTTCATCGTCTATTAAACTGTCCCAACTGTTGCAACGATAAAAAATAGCTCGATTATCCGGAGAGATTTTTTTTTCAAGCCTTCGTCCTACTAAACAAATACCATAAACGAACTATATCCCGGATGGGTAAACTATCCCACAAATGGTTTGGAAGATACCCCGAACACATCGTCAAGCTTTCTTTTATGGTTATTATTAAGGCGGATAATCGAGTCTGACCTTTATTTAAAAGAAAATAACATCAATTTGGCTTGACAAAACGTTTCTATCCTTTCAATAATAAAACACTTTCATTTAAGGGCAAAGATGCTCTACTCCACCAATAAAAAAAAAGAACAACAAAATATACGGCTGGGCAATCAACCCTTGTTGGATGGCAGTAAATTGAAATTTTTCATCGTAATTACCGAGAAATGTCTTTCCGCGAAATGGATCAATCCGGGAAATAGGGTATCCGTGAAATGATTTCCGGGAAATGAACTCGCACTGAGCGTTCTCTAAAATAAATGCATCTCTATTTTTGTTTGTGCTTACTTGGAATAATGTATTATGTTATTATGTTTTTTATAAGAAAAGCTATATTTATGACCTGAACTAAATCACATTAATGTCACACTTTTTTTTTTCTATCACATGTAGCATTGAACGGTCATGAATTAACTTTACATCAAGTATTCACTCAATGTCATTTGTCCAACTGTTTTCTTTTTATCTCTTCCGTAGGACTTTGAAAACCTCCTGAATAATCAACAACAGCAACAACAGCAACAGCAGCAACAACAACAGCAGCCAGGTATGCGAGTATTGCAGCAAAACATTCATCCAGGTCAACCGGGCGGTCAGTTGCCACCACAAATGCAACAGCAGCAACCACCTATGCCGCAGCAGGGTCTTCATCAACAACCGGGGCAAATCCAATCCCCGGTTGGAGCTGGTCCTGGTGGTGGTCAGTTTATTATGCAGCAGCATCGCATTTCGACACCGCAATGGCGTCCGCAAACTCCAGTTCCCGGAGGAGCTGTTGCCAATCTGATAAATCCACTGAACAAAGCAGCTGGCCCAAGCGGAACTCAGCCAATCGCACAGCCACCGATGGAACACACCCACAAGCCCATACAGCTATACCAAGCAAATCTACAACCGGCTCCTCCGGTTCCACCGGAGAATATCACAAACGATCAAGAGCGGCAAACACAGATCAACTATGAGAATTGGATGAACCAGCAAAATATGGCTCTCACCAATCAGTTGAAGCATTATGAGACGGAAATTGGAAAACTGCGTAAGGTGAAAAAGCAGCTGAACACTAAGCAGCGTCAGTTGAAAAAATCTGGAAATGAACTATCCGAACCGGATGCGAAGGAATTGACGCAAGTAACCTCCGATCATGCAGTCATCCAGAAACAGCTGGATAATGCAAGAAAACAGCAACGTCAGCATACGGTGCTTATACAGGAGTATAAGACGAAGCAACAAGCCAAAATGCAAGCAAATATGCCAACTGCGCCCGGAAGCTCTCCGGCACATATAGCTCCACCGTCACCTCTCATGTCACCATCGCCGAGTTCGCAACAGAACATGATTCACCAACCTCCGGCTCAGTCGCCTTTGAATAACCCAATTTTGCAACCCAACCAAAGTCCAATGCATTCGCCTGGTCCACTAATGTCTCAAAGTCCTGGACCAGCGAGTGTGAACTCAATAATGCAAAGTCCGAGTCACCATACCAATTCGAATAGTGCTATGTCTCCGTACAATACCATGCAGCAATCGCCCCGAATCGGTACGCCACATTCACAAGCGGCTGATGATAATCCTTTCAGCCCCGGACCATCGCCGTCTCCATCCATACCGGGAAGATTGACGTCACCGGCACCGAGAATGACCTCACCGCAACATCGGATATCCGGGCAGCAAATGCCACCGGGCAGAATGGTGACCAGTCCAGGTGCACAGTATGCTCAGCAGAACATCATTGTGCAGAATCAGATGATGGGTCAACAACAGACACGATTCGTTAGGCCACAAATTATTCCAAATGATCCGAATGTTAGAATGCGTGTTGCGAATTCGCTGCAACAGCAGCAGCAGCAGCATCAACAACAACAACAACAACAACAACAGCAGCAACAGCAACAGCAACTGATACAACCAAATCCCAACATTAGGCAAATGCAACCTGGTTATACCTCACCACTTGGTAGTCCACAGCCGATAATGTCTCCTGGAACTCCACAACAACAGCAACAGCAGCAGCAACAACAACAACAACAACAACAGCATCAGCAGCAGCAACTTCATCAACAACAGTTAATGCAGCAGCGGATGCAGCAGTTCCAACGACAACAAATATTGCAGCAACAATTACAACAACAACAACAACAACAACAACAACAACAACAGCAACAGCAACAGCAACAACAGCAGCAACAACAACAACATCAACAACAACAGCAACAACCTCAGCAACATTCGCAAATGATGCAACAGCATCAGATGCCCCAGCAAATACAAATGCAACATCAGCAGCAGCAGCAACACATTCAGCATCAACTGAACCAGATGCAGCAGCAAAACCAACAGCAGACCAACTATGCCAAGCAAAGTCCCGTCCATCAACAACCTCCGTCACCATTATTGAGCCAAGGCGGTAGAACAACGCCATCGTCTTCGCCTATGCCCCAGAGCCCAATGTTGTACTATCAGCAGCAGCAGCAGCAGCAACAACAACAACAACCACAACAACAACCGCAACAACCACAACCACAACAGCATCAACAACAACCGCAGCAGCAACAGCAAATGATGCGACGACCACCCAGTGCCGGATCTCAGGGTGTCGGGCCTAGTCCCGGTCAATTCATGCAGCAAGATTCCATGGAAGGATCTATGAATGTCCCGGCTAATGTTGCTAGCAGTAGCACTGGTAGTGGAGGTGGTGGAGGAGGCATCAATCATCCTTCGAACCCGATTCCTATCATGCCTTGCTTTGGGAAGTACGGTTTCATCAAACTGGGACTCCGTGGAGGATCACCGATGTGGGGTAATGCCAGGGGTAATCCAAGCAAGGGTCCTCATCCGATGGGACATCTGCAGCAACAGCTGCAAGGTGGAAGTAAACCTCCGGGTCAGCAGGCGGCAGGACCGTCTGCAGGACAACCGGGACCGTCACAACAACATTTGGATGCGGCGGCGAAAAAGGCACCTGCTACAATGATGCGCAATAGGTTAACGATTGTGCAGAAAACCAACCAACCACCTGTAGGTAGTTCGGAGGAAGTAGTTGTGATTGACAGTAGTCCGGATGAGAAACAGAGAATGATGGACTATGATGACGAGACGGACAAGCTCGGATTGGTGGCGTCGGAAGTGTCTTTGAGTTCGGTTGCTCAGCCAGCTGCCGAAGGAGATGACATAATGGAATCGTTCGCTCACAGCGGATATGAAATCGGGGCCAGTCCGTTGGGAGCGCAAATTGAAGGCGGGGAATATGAGCTTTTCGGGCAAGATGTTGTCGCGGATGGCAATAAGGATGGAGACAAGAGCGTGGGTGTTGAAATTATCAAGACTACAATTATGAAAGAGGGAGACCATTCGAATAGCGGTGTGGTCATTATAGAAAGTGGAGAGAGAGTAGTTCAAAGTAATGAACGAAACATTGCTACCACGGAGGATTTTGAAGCTATGATTGACAGTCGACCCAAGGATGCTGATGGCAAGCAAGACGACGACATCAAAGAACTGACAAGCGAAGAAGCAATGAAGGCTGGTATGAAAACACCTACCAAAGATACTACAGTAATATCCGTAGGACTCCAGCAGAGTCCGAAACCCATTACCTACCCGGGACGAATCGCTATCCAGAAAACGTTGCTCCAAAATCGACCTTCAATGGGGACAGCAGTGTCGGCAGCTCACAAGAAGCTAGTGAAGGACGCAACAGAGACGACTGCCAAGCTTTCGATTGGAAACACTACCATTTCCGTTCCGATACTGAAAAGTAACATATCAAAGAATCCGTCAGGAACGGTCATCTCTGTCGCAGGTCAGAAGATCAACACCACCAGTATGGTGACCCTTTCATCGTTGAATCTGAACCACTCGTCCTTCATAACAAAGACCTTTAAAAGGACACAAGGTCCCAATACTCCTCATCAGCAGCATGTCCATCCTCAAACGACTTCACAAATCAAAATTCAACACATTCAGCCAACATCAGGTCAAGGACCAAGCGTAACGGCTCAATCCCACCCATCTACGATCCAGGCAACTTCAATGGATAATCTGATTGTGAAAGCGAAACCCAAAGCTCCATCGCCAAGCATGAGCTATGCCAAGCTATCTTCACTGACGGTAACACAGGATACATCGTTACCGACGAAAATCTTCGAAGATGACTCAATATCTCCGGACAGTTCCATTGGACAGGAAGATGCAGATCAACTCGGAATGGACAAGGTTGAATCTGTTGCCATGGATGAAGCGTCCCGTGCAGATGGCTCGACTGTTGAAGTAGATAGCCATCCGATGGCTCCCCATGAAGGGTCAAACGATTCACATTCCGGCGAAATAAAGAAGCATAGTGTCATTCCTGTTCATGTAATTTCAAAATCACGGGAAAATTCTAAAAGTCCAATTCTGGGTCCGGCAGGTCAGCGGTTAGTTATGCCGCAACTATCACCACTATCTCAACCAAACGAGCTGACCATGAATGCCATGAACGTTTCCCAACAGGTGCGCTCGATCATGTCGTCGATCAATTCGAGTATTGCTCCGCCGGGATCTTCGATCAAGACGGAAGCCAGTGGAACGGTGATCACTACAACTCCAGCTACTTCTGCGAGCACAATATCGACCATAACCTTCGACACCGTAATACCGTCGAAGGGCGATAACATGAGCAAACCGGAAACGATTGCAAGCATCTTGAAGACCGTATCCGGTAAGAGTATTCTCCCGGCGGCAGCCGTAGCGAATGCATCCAGTGCGAACAAATCTGATCAAGCACAATCCAGCTCGGTTGCGACTTCGATCTCATCGATACCGGGAACGAAACTCTTGAATCAACAGTTACAGATCGGAAGGGTTTCACCGGCTATTCCTCCCGGAGGGAGTAACATCTTGGTGGTGAAACAGGTGCGAGCCCCCCTACAGAAGCAGATCAGTCATGCTCAAGCACAGAAACAACAGATGGTAGTGCTGCAGCAGCAACAAGTCATGAAAATACAGCAACAAAATCAACAACAGTTACAACAACATTTACAACAGCAACATCAGCAGCAGCAACAGCAACTCCAACAGCAAGCTGCTCATCAGGCGGGAGTGATTATTCAAGGTCAGGCTCGGATTCAAGCGGTAGAAATCCCAAAGAGCAGCGTAGACAATAGCAGTACCAGCAGTATAGCTAGCATTCTGAGCAGTACACTTCAGCAACCGCAAACCAGGATCGTGAACTTTAGCGAGCTGTCGACGAACACTAGTCAACCACCGGGATTGGTTGTAACGTCCCGACCGGGTGTAATCTCTACGCCTGGAACTGGTGTTCAGCTTACCAGTAGTAGTAGTTCTGGAACTACCTCAGCGACCACGACCAGTATCCTAAGTGCAACCTTGTCTCAACCTATGCAGTCAATGAAGATGAGCTCACCGACGATTTCTACGCTTCTACAGAACCAACTACAAGGTTCATCGTTCCGTCGATCGAAATCAACCGACGAAGTGCCTGCTGGGTTCCCACGAGAACCATCTGGTCAAACCGTGAGCAAACGCCTCAGTCTAGAAGCATCGAATACGGTCAAAAGTGAACCCATGGATAATACGGATGACAACAACGTGTCTTCTACTTCTTCTGTGAGTTCAACGACAGGCCAGGGAAGTGGTTGTAAGTTCTCCAACATGTCCACACCTTCCGGCATGAAGTTGGAGTCCGACAGTCAAAACGTTCTGTTGAAGCAACTCCTTCAAAACACCGGATCTAGTTCTACTCCTTCTCCAACACCTCCATCGATGACTCGTCAAGTTCCGAGTTTGATAACGAATCAACGAGCTCCGAGTTTAGGTGTTGTGAGTTCGCTGGAAGCTCAACTAGCGCGACCTGTCATTCCACCGTCCGCCAACCCTCCGGCAATACAGATCATCAGCACTCAAGCGGTGACGATGCCTACGGCCAGTGCCACTACCACCAGCACGACATCCGAACCGCATAAGGTTACCACAACAAAATTGGTATCTCGAGAGACCTCGTTCGTATCGAAACCATCCTCGGTTTCCATTTCCGCCAGCCATCCAACGCCGAACTTGGCCGCCAACATGTTGGCAGCCAGTATGAAGAAAGAGGAAATGATGCAGGCTGCTGCGGCTTCCGCTGCAGCTGCAGCGTGTCCCGCACCTCAACCCATTACCGTCCAAAGTACGGTCAAGACCGAATCCGGACAAATGACCGTCACACAAATCACGCACCCAGTCATCCAGCAACAGCAGCTACCACAACAGCTGCTGCAGCACCAGCAGCTGCAGCAACATCAGCAACATATGCAACAACATCAGCAGCATTTGCACCAACAGCAACAACAACAACAACAACTGCAACAACAGCAAACGATTCAGTTACCTGTATCTTCGGCTGAAATGTCTAATATGGCCAGCTTCATCAAACGAGAACCCACGCCGATTCAAACAATGCAGATGAAACCTCCAGAGCATCAGCAGCAGCAGCAGCAGCAGCAGCAACTCAATCAGTATTCATTCCATCCATCTCAACAGATGTCCCGAACACCAACGCCGGTAGAAGTCAAGAAGGAATTCCCCGATGAGCTTATGTCCGGCCCTTCACCGGTTTTCCCCTCACCGGTACCGACACCCACCGATTCGGTAAAACAGGAATTTGTGCAAACTCAAAACAAAGAGGAACCCATGGATCAACCATCGACGGAAGCCGCTGCTAAAACTGCCGCCGAAATTGCTCACGAGCTGAAGAAGAAGAAACGACGAGAGTACCAGAAAAATCGACGCCAACAGCAGATCCAGTCCAACAAGGAGCAGCACCAGTCGAAGAAGAAGCCACGGAAATCCACTAAACTTGAGGAGGACTACGATACTTACATTGACAACCTGATGCTACAGCTGAGACAGTTACCTCCTATGCAGATCCTTGAACCTTTACTTCCCAGGAACTACGGCATTTGCCAGCTGTTCGGGACGGGTGATCTAAGTAAATTCTCTGGCACGAAAAACTATCCGATTACAAATGGAGATCTTACGGGGACTTATGGTCATGCACAGATCCCGAACGTAGCCGACTTTTACAATACGAAACCATTTGGAGTAAAAATTCCTCCACCGGAAACGGTCCCACCATCGACGCAGCGTGGCTTCTACGATCAGGAATTCCCACCGATAAAGTTTGAGATCGAGGATCGTTATCGGTACGATTTCGTGAAAGAACGAGATCTGGACTCACCGGATACTATTGTAAGCACATCCAGCCCGGAATGCGTCCGATGGGAGTCTCCAATTCACTTCCCTGGATTGCGAGTCATAAAGGAGGAGAGTAACGAAGACGAGCAGACCATGGTCTACAAACGGATGTCACCGATCGTCCCGATTGTCGCTCCGATTCCGATCAGGCTGAAAAAGGGTATTTCGCTGTCGGCGGATAAATCCTTGAGTTTGGTTGTTCCTGGAAGCAACAAGGAGAACGAAGGAATCAGAGAACCACTTGGAATCAAATCGAGATTCGGGCCACCAACGCCACTGAAGGATTCCAGTAACGTTACAGTCACTCTAACCTTGACATCGTCCGCGGCGGAAGACATAATTGGAGTGCTCCGAGATCTTGCCAATATCCTGGAGATTCCACCTCCAATGGCGTACCAGATTGTTGAACGGACTACTACTCCACCTAGTCAAAAGCTTGGGCTGTACAGGACCAAGGGTCGTGATGGCAAAGAAGGAGCTCCGATCGATATCCAAACTATTCTGAACGGGGCAGCCAAGTTCTGCCGACATTGCGACGTTGTGATCCTGAATACACTGATCACGGCGAAACCATCGGAATTTCCGTTGCTTGGTAATCATGTCAATCAGGAACTGGAATCGGAGGAGCTGTACTTCTGCAGCAAGGCTTGCTACCGGCAGTTCCAGTGGAGGCCAACAAATATCCTCGAGGATAAACTGGTTGGTGGGGACATAAGCAAACTCCGGGAGAACTTGGCATCCAAGTTTGACCTGGACCTGGACGAGAATCTCAGCATGGGTGCGATGGACATAAAACAGGAGCTGAATGAAGACGGTGATGTCAGTATGGCTAGTATCCGGTCGTCGGATAGCAAGGATTCTTCGATGAACGATCGTAAAAAGAAGCTAGACGAGGCGGATAAGGAAACCGGACCACCGATGAAGCAACTGAAAGGAGTCAAGTACAAATTATTCGCATCTAATTGCTTCCCAGTGCAAAAATATAAGAAGCCTACGGAGAAGGAAATCACTGAGATGCTGTTCCGGATGAACATCACCGTAACGCCGACTCCGAAAATGCCGGATGATACGAGGCGTTGCATATTCTGTCACACCATCGGTGACGGTGTGGCGGATGGACCTTCGCGGCTGTTGAATTTCGATGTTGACAAGTGGGTTCATTTGAACTGTGCTCTCTGGTCTGATGGTGTCTACGAAACCGTGAACGGTGCATTGATGAACCTGGAAAACGCGCTTCAGCAGAGTCTCAGCTTGGTGTGTACGTTCTGTAATAATCTTGGTGCCACGATCAAGTGCTTCAAGACACGCTGTGCCAATGTGTATCATTTGAGCTGTGCCATGAAGGATAGCTGCGTGTTCTACAAGAATAAAACGACCATGTGTCAGTCACATGCACCAAAGACCGAGAAGGATTCGGAACTGACGACGCTCAGCGTTCAGCGGCGTGTATACGTGGACCGGGACGAGAGCCGACAAGTGGCGTCCGTGATGCACCACTCAGAGTCAAACAACCTGCTGCGGGTGGGAAGTTTGATTTTCTTAAGCGTCGGCCAGTTGCTGCCTCATCAGTTGCAGAATTTCCACACACCGAATTATATCTATCCGATTGGATATAAAATTGTGAGTTGCTCAATCCTTTATATTAAATGCTTATGGTTTAACTAATGATTTCGTTCTGCCTCGCTAGATGCGTTTCTACTGGTCGATGCGACGACCGAACAAACGCTGCCGCTACGTGTGCTCCATTGCGGACGTATGCGGTCGACCGGAGTTCCGGGTTCTGGTTCAGGAGTCAACCGAAGAAGACATCGAACTGCGTGACATCACTCCGAAGGCTGTTTGGCAGCGAATACTGGAACCGATGGCTACCCTGCGGAAGGATTGCCACATAGTGCAGCTCTTCCCGAAGTACGTCACCGGAGAAGATCTTTTCGGTTTGACCGAACCGGCCGTGGTTCGCATTCTGGAAAGTCTTCCCGGTATCGAAACGTTAACCGACTATCGGTTCAAGTATGGTAGAAATCCGCTGCTGGAGCTGCCCTTGGCAATCAATCCTTCCGGAGCGGCTCGAACGGAACCAAAATTGAAACATTCGCTGTCGTGGAAGAAGCCACACACCCAGCGGACGGGTTCGGTCAGCCAGCGACCAACTTTCGTTCCGACTAGCTCGCCTGCCGGAGAGGTTGCCTGTCCCTACAGCAAACAGTTTGTACATTCCAAGAGTTCACAGTATAAGAAGATGAAGCTAGAGTGGCGCAACAATGTATTCCTGGCACGGTCCAAGATCCAAGGTCTGGGTCTGTACGCGGCGCGGGATCTCGAGAAGCACACGATGGTGATCGAATACATCGGAGAAGTCATCCGTACGGAGGTCTCCGAGTTGCGTGAGAAGCAATATGAGGCACGGGTAAGTGTTATTGTTCGACGACTGCTCATCCTAGTTGAAAATATTCACCGTTTGTTTTTGCTCAACAGAACCGTGGTATCTACATGTTCCGTTTGGACGAGGAACGTGTAGTGGATGCGACGCTGTCAGGGGGTCTGGCTCGTTACATCAACCATTCGTGCAATCCGAACTGCGTCACCGAGACCGTCGAAGTGGAACGAGAGTTGCGCATCATCATCTTTGCCAAGCGCCGTATCAACCGTGGTGAGGAATTGTCGTATGACTACAAATTCGACATTGAAGACGACGCACACAAGATTTCCTGTATGTGCGGTGCCCCCAACTGCAAGAAATGGATGAACTAAAAACAAGGGCCGTAGCAAAGTGGGGCTATTTATACAGTTTGGTGTACTATTTGTTTATTTTCTAGAATATGTGTAAGTTGGTTAGGAGAGCAGATTTAATTGTATAGTTGTTTAGTATTCTCAATGTTTTTTTTTTCTAAAAAAAAATTAGGAAGCATAGTTTTTAGGATCTAAAGTCGGTTTCTCACCCCCACTGCTATGATATGACACACGCAAATTAACAAAACGAGCTAGTCTTAAGCGAGGAACAACAGTGTTTTAGACCAGGAATATTGATATAATTATGTGTTTAGTGAGCAAGATGTAACTAGCATTGATTTAATAGTGTTTTCCATAATCGGTTACCTTCTAGCTGCTTCTATTTTTCTTTTTTCTCCTGTTGTAGTGAGACTGTAATAATAATGTCCTTCATTTAGTAGATTGCTTTAGCTAAAAGCACCCTAGCAACAAACGAGAGCGGGACGGTAAATCCAAACTTGGATCAAAATAATAGGTTTTGTAGAAGATTAAGTAGTAAAAAAAGTGTAGATCAGCACTGGTAGATAGACAGAGATTATTTCCAATTCGAAATAAGTCACACAAACGGATAAAATCTGGGATTAAGGCAAACAGTTATTAGAATATATACCTAGGAGCGTGAGACACAAAAAGTACTTGGAACAATAATAAGTAAACACTAGCTGAGGAAAATCAAAGAAACAAAATTAGAATCACCTCCATAGTGGACACACACACAGAACACACATCCATATATTTTCAGACGATTGTTTTGCAATATATATATATTTTGTATACTATCATGAATGTTAACTAGGAGCAAATCTTCTCTCAATTGATTGAGATCGGAAACACGTAGATCCTGGTGTGTTAGTCGCGGGAGATGTAATTATTATTGATTGTCTGAACACAATGGAGTTATGATTATGCAAGTGCGCGTAGCAATATACAAGCAACTCTGTGTTGTTAAAAGAAGGATACAAATTACGGCAAATGCTAAGTGTAGACATATTTGTAATATATAAGCTTAAAAATGGCACGAGATAATAGAGCAGAGGAAAATTTAAATTTGATCGTTTTATTTAAATTTCTATCATAATCCATATTCTGCCGCTATTTGCATAACAGTCCCATGTAGATAGGAAGTCCACAGGATATGGGACTGTTATGGGAGTAAATGTACAGAAAGTTTAACAGTTATGGCACTAGTGGTCCTCTAATTAGCCATACGGTCACGAATGAAATGTTTATTATTGAGTGGTGATACAAACAACATCATTCCACTACACCACCGGCGCCGCTCATCAATGTTGTATTATTGTGTGTGGCAGGATAATTTCTCAAAAAGGGATTATAGGGGAAATGTATGTAATGTCGACCTAAGTGTCCCTAATTTGGGTCCATACATAAATTCAGCAATCGACTACATTTTCAATAGCAACCAAAAATATCCATTAGTACCGTCCCAATGACGCGTTCATCTAGATAAAATTGATCAATAGCAGATTTTTAGTGATGGGCCCAATGTTAGATCCATAGGCCAAATTAGAGCCATTTCCCCTACCATCTGCTTTCTGTTTATGGCCGTACAACTGCGCCCATTGATTTACCACACGGCGGCTCTTTATCCAGGATTCGCTCCTCAAGCCGCTGCCATAAAATACTATCAAAGTTACACATCTGTGTATAATCCTTATGGGCGAGGTTGCATCGCGCTTATGAGTGGCGCGCTTCGACCGTAACCAATTGAGAATTTAACATAAGCGCGACAATAGTAGGGTTAACTACCCCATTTCCGGCCTATTAAGCACAACCCGCGCTTAGACTTTCTTAATCTAGCGCAGTTTAGTACCAAACGGAATGTTATTATTACTGATGGCTTTCAAAATTTATTTACCTTTCCGTATGTACCGTAAGATTTGATAAAGAGAAACCAATCGTTGAGATATTGTCAAAAGTATAACGCTGCTTCTTGACGTCTAACTCGGTCTACGGATTCTAAACTCGGCCTAACGCATTGAAATGCCAATGAATTCACTTCGGCCTATCGGATGCAGATAAAAATTGATTCGGTCGGTACGCTTCTTTTGCTTTTGGGAATAATGGGTGCAAACCTTCATATCACGCGTTCTCATTGACTTCGTTCCGTAGCTTATTTAACTAAAGTATCGTACCAAACGCATAATTTACTTATTAACTCTGTAATCATGGATTTATTTGAAGTTTTCTGCTCGATAGCCCCAAAATGGGCGATTAGACCATTAGGGTAGTTCTCTACCCTATATCGGCAAAATATAATAATTGAAAAGCTTAATGAAAATCGCTAAATTCTGATTATATCGGTGCGCATAGGGGAGAACAGTACATAACGCACCCCCGGGGTAAGACGCACTTTTTCATTTTATTTTGAGTTTTTCTTGGAATTTTAAATCCAATTCTAGGATTTATCATGCAGGATTTTGAGTTCAGATACTATGCTAGAAGTGCTGCTTGATAAGACAACAAAAAAGTTACTTAAAAGCCATGAAAAACACAAATGAAAGTCAGCTGGTGCGTTCTGCCCAGGGGGTGCGTTCTATACCATTCTCCCCTACTGATTTCCTCTGTCAAGGAAGCATACATTTCTAGATAGAGCTGGAATTAGGGCGTAACAGCCTTTGTAAACAATGACTTCTCTCGTTGATTTCTCGGAATTCAAGGCACGCCTTCACAAACCTTCATATCCATCGGGTAGGAGAAGTCTTCCTCTACTCGATGGTTATGTCGATTTGCCAGGGAGAGCCATGGCTTCCGAGAAATCATCAAGAGAAGTCATTGTTTACAAAAGCTGTTACGCCCTAATTCCAGCTCTATCTAGATTTAGGCTTTATCTACACGGTGAATGAGAACGACCCAAATTTGAGTTTAGTTCACGCATAATCGCCAAAAGTGCAGGAACTCAGCGATGAGTAAAATTTGTTTCATGGTTTCCTGTGGAAAACCTAAAAAATCTACCGGAAAATGAGGAAATTGACGAAAATTTTATTCAGTCTCGGAGTAGTACCAATAGACTGAGTGAATCCAATCTTTACTTTTCTCAAATTCGGGATTTTTTCCCTGGGAAAACATGAGGCAAATTTACTCATAGCTGAGTTCCTGCACTTTTGGCAATGGAGGCGAACCAGCACCAGGCTGAAAGCCTCCCTAATAAAGATAAATCAATCAATCAATCACTTTTGGCGATTATGGGTGAACTAAACTCAAATTTGGGTCGTTCTCATTCGCCGCGTATGTTCAACCTCTATTGAATTTCACTGGTTTACGCCTGATGGTTATGCCATAGAGGTAACTCTAAGACTACACCCAGAGAAATATGTCTTAAATCCAAAAGAATTCTGTCTAGATTCAACAGAATTTATTATAGACTGACGGCTTACCAGTAATTATTTTTGATTCAACTAAAGGGTGATACGGTCAAAATTTGGTCAATATCAACTTGACGTATTTCTTTCAATTTTGCATTTAAAAAACCTGAACACCCCTCATTTTGAAGGTGTGTGTGTGTAGAATGTTGCTCCTATTTTGATTTTGGAATTCACTCTTCAGTTGTCAAAATGCCGTCCAAGCAAGAAGAGCAGCGTATCAAAATTTTGCTCGCGCATCGCGAAAATCCGAGCTACTCGCACGCAAAGTTGGCAAAATCGCTAAAAGTTGCCAAATCAACCGTTACAAATGTAATTAAAGTGTTTGGGGAACGTTTGTCGACAGCCAGGAAGTCTGGATCGGGGGGAAATCGAAAACCGGAAGCCGCTGAGACGACAAAGAGAGTTGCCGGTAGTTTCAAGCGAAACCCTAACCTCTCTCTCCGAGATGCCGCAAATAAGCTGGGTGTATCGTCTACAACCGTGCATCGAGCCAAAAAACGAGCCGGACTATCGACTTACAAGAAGGTAGTGACTCCAAATCGCGATGATAAACAAAATACGACGGCCAAAGCGCGAACCCGGAGGCTGTACACGACGATGCTGACGAAGTTTGACTGCGTGGTAATGGACGACGAAACCTACGTCAAAGCCGACTACAAGCAGCTTCCGGGACAGGAGTTTTATACGGCAAAAGGAAGGGGAAAGGTAGCAGATGTTTTCAAGCACATGAAACTGTCAAAGTTCGCAAAGAAATATCTGGTTTGGCAAGCCATCTGTACCTGTGGCTTGAAAAGCAGCATTTTCATAGCTTCCGGGACTGTCAACCAAGAAATTTACGTGAAAGAGTGTTTGAATAAATGTCTGCTGCCTTTCCTGAAGAAACACGGTTGTTCCGTACTGTTTTGGCCGGATTTGGCATCTTGCCATTACGGTAAAAAGGCCATGGAGTGGTACGCCGCCAACAACGTGCAGGTGGTTCCCAAGGACAAGAACCCTCCCAACACGTCAGAGCTCCGCCCAATTGAGAAATACTGGGCTATTGTCAAGCGGAACCTAAAGAAGACCAAAAAAACTGCTAAGGGCGAGCAGCAGTTCAAGGCAAACTGGCTTTCTGCGGCGAAGAAGGTGGACAAGGTGGCTGTACAAAATCTGATGGCAGGGGTCAAGCGTAAGGCCCGGCAATTCGGATTTGGAAAAGCGGAAGCCTAACTGAATATTTTTCCTGAATTTTATACTAATTGAACTTGAAAAAGAAATTTAATTTGATTTTTTAAATAAACGATTTCACCGATTTACACGCGTTTTCCCTTGACCAAATTTTGACCGTATCACCCTTTAGTACGGTCATTTGCTTAGACTATAAAGTTTGTTGTTTCAAGCATTGCTCTAAAATTGCCAGCTGTCACAAACAAAACAAAATCATTGTTGAAACAAAAATATAATTTGTTAGATCAACGCAGATGTGTATAGCAATAGCTAAAGATATCGTTTTGAAACAAAAACACGTATTATTGTTTCAACAATTTTGTATTTTAGTTCCAAAAATCTCAATGCCCTGTATCAAAAAGCGATTCTGTTTGCTTTACGCTAGATTCTTATTGTTTTTATTACTCATAATAATACAATAAAATATTTTTTATGCGTCATTTATTATTGTCATGAAATAACAACACCTAAAGTATAACTTATCTTCTACCTTATGCAAATTAATATTACATAAAGAGCTTTGAGTGGGTTGGTTTATTTCCTTTAAATTCCGTTATAATTGCTTATCTTTTGACAGATACGCGTATTTCGTCTACTACTTGCAGTCTTCATTAGTGCCAAGTACTCTACAGTGGTGTTGTAACATATCATTAAAAGATTGTCAAGGTTGTCTAGTATGATGTCCTCTAATTCATAGATATTCACCAAATTATAATGACGTATGTAACATATGATTTTCCTTGTGAATTCTGATCCGTGTTTAAAAAAATTATCAACGTATTTCACTGTGTCGCTATCAATTTTATAACTTTTATGTATAATTCCAGTATGTTCACTTTTAAGATGCATGACCGATAATTTAGACTGGGACAAATCGATAGTTAATCAAGGGGCAAGACAGCTCCCAATCACGAGCAATTTCAGAGTTGCTTTTGAGGCAACAGTGGGCGAGATCACTGTCATATTGCGGCGCGAAGCCGCAAAGCTGCTGTCAAACAAAACGCTTGTCAAAACGTGAAGTATCGTGTGTGCGCAAGTACTTTGCTGCCTAGTTTGCTGCTGCTGGTATGACTTTTATCATTAAAATGGATTTTATTGTAAGTTTTATTTCACTATCGTTCATACATATTCGCAGACATAATTATTTCTTGAAGGATGATTTCTGGAACAGGATCTGAAATGAAATTGCTGTTGTGCTTCAACACATCAAGAACATGTTGAGATTGGAAGGACTTGCCGAAAACGGCGTGATGACATTATCACAATACAGGAGCAAATGCGAGCCCGTGTTCATTGTGTTAAAGAAGAATCCATCGAATACTATGGTCGATTCCGAGAATCCGAAAATTTCCATTTCTCCATCGGTGACGTTCGCGTCTTGAAATTGATAACCATGAGACGGTATTGCCAAGTACACCCGCAAAGAAGGTGATCAGACCCAGAGTGTCTCTCAGATTG